AATAGAATAGAATAGAATAGAATAGAATAGAATAGAATAGAATAGAATAGAATAGAATAGAATAGAATAGAATAGAATTCTTTATTGGCCAAGTGTGATTGGACACACAAGGAATTTGTCGATGCAGTGTACATAAAAGAAGAGATACATTCATCAAGAGTCAAGAATCATAAGGTACAACACTTAATGATAGGCATAGGGTACAATCAGCAATCAAATCACAATAGGAAACAGTCAATAAAAATCGTAAGGATACAAGCGACAAAGTTACAGTCATGCAGTCGCAAGTGGGAGGGGATGGGTGATAAGGAGTGATGAGAAGATTAATAGTAATAGTAATTGCAACTTTGTAAATAGCTGGACAGTGTTGAGGGAATTATTTGTTTAGCAGAGTGATGGCATTCAGGAAAAAACTGTCCTTGTGTCTAGCTGTTCTGGTGTGCAGTGCTCTATAGCGTTGTTTTGAGGGTAGGAGTTGAAACAGTTTATGTGAGGGGTATGTAAATATTTTCACAGCCCTCTTTTTGATATATAGATGGATAATAGGAAGGCAGGTTGGTAGAGAGACAGACAGACAGACACAGATATAGGATAGATTAGATAGACAGATGATAGAGATACTGTGATAGATGATAGGAAGGAAGGTAGATATGGATGGATGGATGATAGATACATAGATATACATAGATATATAGATACAGACAGAGAGACATAGAGAGAGAGATGGATGGATGGATGATAGAGAAAGACAGAAAAACAGACAGACTACATAGATAGAGATGGGTGGGTGAATGGATGGATAGAGATAGAGATATACATACATGCATGCATGCATACATACAGTTATGGATTGATAGATAGACAGAGACAGACAGATAGATATGGATGGCTAGACAGACAGACAGACTTTTTCTGAGTTTAAGGAAAAACATGACTGTCATAATTGCGGTATGCTGTAAATGGCCAAAGGTAGAGAGCATGCTAAGTCATAAGTTCTGGGTTATAGCATATCTTCACAGCCCTCTTTTTGACTCGTGCAGTATATACAGGTCCTCGATTGAAGGCAGGTTGGTAGCCATTGTTTTTTCTGCAGTCCTAATTACTCTCTGAAGTCTGTGTCTGTCTTGTTGGGTTGCAGAACCAAACCAGACAGTTACAGAATGAAGCATTGTAAGTCGAGGACTACTACCTGTACCTCAATAGATACCCAAACACAGAATAGAAGAGGAAACAGCCTGAGCATTTATATCTATAAATAAAAAAAAGATCAAAATATTGGCTTTAGCTATGTAATCAAGCCATGCCCCCTTTTGTGCATAAGGCGGGGCCAGGTCCTCGGTTACCTGATGGCAGCCACCATCTTGATTTTTTTGATCTACCATCCAATGGTGGGATTCAAATTTTTTTACTACCGGTTCTGTGGGCATGGCTTGGTAGGCGTGGCAGGGGAAGGATACTGCAAAATCCTCATTCCCTCCCCACCCCACTAACCTGCTTTCCAGCTCGGTTCTCCTGTGCAGGGCAACCAAAGAAGAGCCAGCCCATCAGCTGGGACTCAATGGGAGGCAGAGAATAGATGGGGTTGGCAGGGCCAGTCAGAGGTGGGATTTTCCAGTTCTCCGAATTACTCAAAATTTCTGCTACTGGTTCTCCAGAACTGATCAGAACTGGCTGAGTACCACCTCTGCTACCACCCCCTCAGACACCTCTGTAAACACGGTTGTTTCTTCTTAATGGGTGAGGTTACATCTGTTTTTCTTGTCCACACTCTACAGGGGGAGAAACTCTCAGCTTTTCTGATTTACCCGCCACGGGCAATATTACAGAAAATTCACCTTCTGGTATCGTGGTACATACTTTCCGGGTCAACTTAACGCCACATCTGTTGCCAGACATTACAATACCATTTAGCTATCCGTTAATCGTCAATTCAAATCCACTCACGAAAGCCTTCCGGATCAACACCATATCTCCACTCCAATACCAGGTACGTCTTTATTTAAAAGCAGAAGCTGTGGCTGGAAACAAGAAACAGATAAAGGTAACAGGATCTGGTTTAATGTCGAGGTTCCAACTGAGGAACCCAACCAAAGCTAGCACGACTGAGACGATCCAATCTCTTAATGCAAAGCTTCACTGAGGACATCATTTTGGCCCAAATGAAGGCAAACCGATCTAGCTGTTTCCCGCAGAAACCCACATAGTTAAAGTATAAAATCTCTCTTTGCCCCCCCTCCCATTAGAGTGGGAGGAGTGGGATTTGGGGCAGGATTCAATTTTTTTAACAACCGGTTCTGTGGGCATGGCTTAGTTGGTGGGCGTGGCTTGGTGGTCATGTGACTGGCTGGGCATGGCCAACTCAATATCACTCACATCGAGGCACATATCCTGGCTTCTTATGACTGTGGGGATGCTGCAACAGTCATAAGTAAAAAATGGTCATAAGTCACTTTTTTCGGTGCCATTGTAATTTTGAATGGTCACTCCACACAAGCAAAGTACCAGCAAAGGAGGGGAAAAAAACCTCCAAGGAAGTTCCTGAGACAGGAAGTCTAGTCCTGCCAAGAATGTAATAAGGGTTAATGGAGAGGCAGTTTCTGTAAGCAACACCAGAATATTTCCTTCCTGCCTTCCTTACAGGATTAGGCCAGTAATTTCTTCTAAAACCGGTTCTCCGAACTGCTTAGAATGTTAACAACCGGTTCTACCGAATAGGTGTGAACTGGTAGAATCCCACCCCTGATTTGGGGGTTCTCCAAACTGCACAGAAACTTAGCTAGGGGCTCTCCCAAACCCCTGGAAACCCCCAGCAGCCCAACCCTGGTTTGGGATAACATCAGTGGTGGTATTCAACCGGTTCAGCCTGGTTCTGGCGAGCTGGTAGCAGCGATGAGCAGTGGAGACCAAACCAGTTCTCTCCACTGCTCTGCTGTTGGGCCCACCTGCCCACCTGGGTTCCCATATGCACTTTTATCCGCTGAATTTGAAGTGCAGCTGCTTTGTACGGCACAGAATAATGCCACGCGGCAGCTGCTGGAATCGTGCAGGCTTGCAGGAGGCAAGTTAGAACACCTCTGTGCCTGTGCAAAGTGTGCGTTTGGCGCGCATGTGCATGCAAAGTGTGTGCACATGCACAAAGAGCACCCACCAAGCCACGCCCACCAAACCGGTGGCAAAAATATTTGAATCCTACCATTGGGTGACATGGTAGCAGTCTTCCAGTATTTAAGGGGCTACTAGAATAGAATAGAATAGAATAGAATAGAATAGAATAGAATAGAATAGAATAGAATAGAAAATAGAATAGAGAATAGAATAGAATAGAATAGAATAGAATAGAATAGAATAGAATAG